GTCCATCATTTCGATTATTTCATCTTTCATCCACGCTTGCTTTTTATAATGGGTGACAGTTCCACTTTGCGTTGCTGTATCGATGATACCATTCTTTATGTTATCCCACCTTTCTTCGACTGTTGGTACATTGTATACTTGTGTGATGTTGTCTCGAATTTTTTCGTTCATTGTCTGTTCAAAGTGATGTTTAAATTCTTCTTCTTTTAGTTTGTGTCTATGGTATTTGTTTTCGTCGGCGTCTGCGTCGGCACTTGGATATGTCTTAGTACATTTACATGAGTTTCGAAATCTATTGATAATCATGATATAATCTATTTGGTTACGCATTACACTACCATGGCCACATCTCGATGATATCCATGTATAGAGACGTCTTTTTGGTTGTTTAAAACATGTGTTGGTGATAACAAAGTTTTCCTCTTGGCAGAACTCCACCAATCTATCACCTCTTTCGTTTCTTTTCCCAAGACCGAATCCTCCAGTAATTCCGGGAGTTATGTCTTCTCCTACTTTAGCGTTGAAGTCTCCCATTATTACACAAATTTCGTGTTTTTTTGTGTTATTTAGTGCTTGCTTTAATACATGGTAAAATTCATTAATTTCGTTGTCTGTACTGTTACTTGTAGGAGCGTATACTTGTATTAAGTTTTTATTAATCTTACTTTTAATAGTTATCATCATTATTCGCTCTGAAAGAGGAACAAATTTGTCAACCAGGTTTTCAAGTCGTTCCTCAAGAATTATAGCAACACCATTTTCATGAACATCATCCGTTTTTCCGGAATAATAAGTAATATAACCTCCACTTTTTACAGTTCCCGATCCGGTCCATCTAGCTTCGCTAATTCCGAGGACTTGCAGGCCCAGACGTTTCATTTCGAGTTGTACATTTTTTAGCTTTCCCGATTGATATAAAGTTCTAACATTCCACGTAGCAATATGTTTTATTAATGATCTATTTTTATTTTTCCCTCCGGAGATTCTTAGCACCTCTGTCCCATTAAAGGGACGCCGGAGACTCGGGGCCGTCGTTTGTATTTGTCATGGAGCTTTTCTTGAGAGATTTAGTGCAGTAGTTTCCCATTGCTTTCTGCACCGCAGTATCACAGCCAGTTAAATCATTATGGGATTGCCGCCTGTGGGTGTCTGTCGTCAAACCTGCTAGATGTCGTTCTAACAGCCTTGATTCAGTAATGGCATCACTGCTGCCTAATGCCATGCCCTCACTAACAAGCCAAATAAAACAAATCTTAACCAAAGATATTTATTAAAAAGAATAAAAACAATAATTAACCCTGCTAAAGGTTGTCTAGAGCAGCCGCCAATAAGGTACGGATAGCTGTGATGATAGCCAACCTCCGATAGGAGAAGGAACTACAACAAGAAGAAGAAAGTTAACAATTAATAAGTGATACTTATTGCTTCGATGGGCTGCTTGTGTGTTCTAGATGTTAGGTCCTCCATAAATGTGTCATCGGGAGATCTGCAGTCACATGTGGGTATATGTCCTGATTAAGTCCTCAAATGGTTCTCATTATTTTGAATCTGGTCAATACATTTACTGTGGTCTATAAACCCAATAAAGACAATAAACCCAAGAGAATATTCTAGTCTTATTATAACTTTTAAATTCTTTTATAAATTTTAAAAAGTGGCAAAAAATAATCCCACAATTAAAGTGATTGACAGAAAATACGAAGGGACTGACTGAATGAAGTTAGCACAGATGTCATAGGATGTCAACACAGAACAGAATATTTAGTCTGCCGGACAGAAAGAGAGAGGGCGAATATTTATTCTACGGGACAGAAAGAGAGAAAAAAGAAAGATAGAGGGAGAAAAGAAAAACAGGGCGCCAAAGACTTTTTAAATGAAAAATAGTAAAAACTAAACTGAAGATAAAGAAATTAATAAAGAAATTAAAATGAAATAATTATTTAAATATAAATTAATAGAGATGTGACGTTTATAACGTTACATACTGAACCAGCATCCATTTTCTCACTGGTTATATGGCGATTACGCAGTTCCTTTATTTTGGTACACACTTTGCACTTATTTAGTACAATGATCCTACTAAATAACTTATTGCAAACAAATTTCATTATAAAATAGGTAAAGAAATAGTAATAAGACTTACTCACAATCAATTTAATTTAACAATCTGACGACCGGTTTCGCTTTCTACAATTTGCAAAGCATCTTCAGGTCTAGATACAAAGTTAAACTAATGCTGCAATAAAATAAACCCAATTAGGGTGGTGTCTAATAAAGATAAAATAAACAAATAAGTTAGTTCATACAAATTCATACAAATTATAGTAATTATGCCAATATTACATGTCTGTGGTTTTCAAAATGAATAAATTTGAATATATAAAAGGTATTAACAGACAAGGTAAGACCCACAATTGGTATAAAGTAGCAATATTATATTGTAATAAATTAATAAATGAGCAAATAAATAAAACAAAACAAACATTACTTACATGCCGGTACTCTATTAATTGATGGATGGTAGGTCATGGTTGCAAAAATCCTGTATTGTTGGTTGGAGAACTTTAATGTGCTATTGCAGTTGTTTTGACAATAAACGGGAAGTTCTTGAGGAGAACAGATTTGATCCAATGAATTAGAGATAGGTATATTGTGGTTGTTTGTCAGATGAAAAAGATGTTCTTTACTATTGTATTATTTAAATTATTTACACTTATTTCAGAGATATATTTTTTGAATGTGTGTTATTTATTGAGTATTTATGTAATGAAGGAGACAGTTTTATGACAATGAATAAGAGTAGCTGTACCGATTGTGTGGTTGTGCAATTATTTTGACTTGTAATTATCAAGTCTATTGGCAAAATTAATAAATTATTGTAAAGTCAACTATGTAAAAAGTATATAAAATTATTACAAATTAAGACGATCAGGGACAAATTAAACACACATTAACAGGAACAGAAACACTAAATGACGAGACAAACATTGAATTTAAAACTTAAACTTAAACTCCAACTATAATTTGTATGAATTTGTATGAACTAACTTATTTGTTTATTTTATCTTTATTAGACACAGGGTTGGGCTGTTTTAAAACAAGCTTTTTAAAACAACGTTTTAAAACATGTTTAAAAACACTGAAAAAAAAAAACAGTTGCATTTTAAAACACTAACATTAACTAAACCAATACTCCTAATAAAGTTAAAAGAAAAAGAAAATTAAGAAATTAAGTAAATAATTATTGAATTACAACAGCATCTATTACACAGTCCTACATCCTGCAACTGATATGTGATACAAAAAATAAAAATAACAATGAATGTTCCTTAAAAAAATAAAAACTATAAATATAGAGCTTTTACGGTTAATAATGTAACCTTAAACATTTTTATTTAAATGTTGAAATATTGTTACTGGCTTAGCAGCTTTGTCACTTCCTAACCTATTCCTCAATTTCGAGTGAACTAGACCATATGAAGAAAATAGCCTCTCCACTCCAGCACTGGATGCAACTGCTAAAAATAATTGAGTTGTCAGCTGCAACAACTCCGATGAAATAAACTGTTTATGAGATAGCCACCATGTTAAAGAACTTAAATTGTCTACTGTATTTTTTGCAAACAAATATTGTTTATTAAATGGCGGTGCTAAGGCACGAAATGACAGTATTTCGGGCATTACATTTGGGTGAAAATCCGAAATAAGCTAAATAATGCGCATCTGTTATAGCCAGTTGAAAACGTGCTTCTGCTTTATGAAGTTCCAACACGTTCCAACAACACGTTGCAACCGTTAGATTGAGCTTCACTTTCACTTTGGAAATAACCCAGTAAGTCCTTCCAAATGTCTGTTGCATCTGCTATGGTGCAGATATTTCTCTGGCATTTATCCAAAGCCCATATGTGTGCCAGTTGAGGTTTATGGGAATCCCCTTTAGAAATCCAGTGAAGTACGTAATTATTTTAAAACGTTTTTTTTTTGTTTTAAAACAGTGTTTTTTTGTTTTAAAACAGTGTTTTTTTAGATGAAAAAAAAAACTGATTTAAAACAAAAAACATTGTTTTTAAACAAAAAAAAAACATGTTTTTTGTTTTTTTTTAAAAAAACATTTTTTTGTCCAACCCTGTAGACACCACCCTAATTGGGTTTATTTTATTGCAGCATTAGTTTAACTTTGTATCTAGACCTGAAGATGCTTTGCAAATTGTAGAAAGCGAAACCGGTCGTCAGATTGTTAAATTAAATTGATTGTGAGTAAGTCTTATTATTATTTCTTTACCTATTTGATATGGACTCACACAAGCAACACATTCATGATTTGAAATTTCATTATTTCATGGATTGCCTTATCCAGTCTTTTGACCTTTTGGCCTTGAAAATAAACATATTTTATGGTCCTGTGCATCCTCTCGAGATGCATGGTTGTATTCAAACCACTATATTTTCGGTGGCAGTAGGCTTAAAATTCAATCATGGTCTGGAGAAAACTTTGGAACATTGCATCAAATGCGGAAATGTCTCTTTCCTGAAGGATAGTCCTCAAGTACTTATAGACCAGCACGTACAAACGTAACTACATAATGTTTCTTTTGAACTTGTTTATTTAAACAGGAAATATTAATATGCCAAATGACTCACTCTTGTATGTTTTAAATTAAAAACAAACCTACTTTTCCTTTAATGCAATTTTTGTTAAATTCTTTCGCTACGCCTGATCCACGTGACAGAACCAAAATAAACTAAAAGTGAATGTTAATAATGATTAATTTTCTAAAAAAAAAAGAACAAATTCATAACCGAAACTGAGATGAGACTGAGAAACGATTTATTTTACGTGCGATTCGGGCACGTGAATTGGCCGCCTAGATCATGTGACACCACACCTAGACTTTTTCGTCAGTTAAATCTTTAATTTTGACTTAAAATTGTGTTTTTACTACTTACTGGATATTATTACGCATATTTATTAAATTATATTTGTGTATTTTCCTTTGCAGTTGCAAATTCTTGAAATGAACATGGCCCTCCCCCAAACTTTACTCAGCAGGTGCCCGCCTTGCATGGAGAACTTTCTGAAAACAGTCTGTCACATGACGTGTTCACCGGAACACTCCAAGTTCTTAAACGTCACTGAGAAACGTTTCGATCCAGCCACAAATGTGACCTACGTGAACGAGATTGATTATTTCATGGAAAACTCTTTCATGGAGAACGTTTTTGGATCTTGCAGGCAAGTCAGCGTGCCGTCCACTGGCGGAAAGGTATGTGAATGAAAGTATTTTTAAGACATTTATTAGAGAATTAATGTATTTATCTTTTCTGTTAGGTAATGGATCTGATGTGTGGAGACTGGGGCTCCTCCAAATGCACTGCCTTGAGGTGGTTCAGTTATTTGGGCAACAAAGAGACTCCTATGGTACCGTTCCAGATTACATATCACAATGAAACTAGTCCCACAAAGGGCTTCATTCCTCTCAATTTACCGACTGTGCCCTGTAGTAAATCAGCTGATGTAAGTACCTACAATGTTTTTGTTTTTTTGCATTTGGCGATTGGGGGTGGGGTAAAATTACCGAATATATATATATATATATATATATATATATATATATATATATATTATATATATATATATATATATATATATATATATTGTTTTATGTGTATTTATAGTTCCTACTTGGTTTTATTCTCTAAAATATGTTTGGTCTAAAATATAAATAAATAATTTCACTTCAAAATAAGTTTATTTAATGTTTCAATTTCCACTTCGAAAATCGTTCTCAAAAGTCAAATGAACTTATTTTAAAATAAAATTGTGGCTTATTCCCAACAAAAATAATATATTGCATTAAGATGATATTATTAATATATTGCATTAAATGTTGAAGTTGTATGAAAAATAAATAAAACATTAATCGAAGACATCAATCAAGATGCTACTATATATTGTTTAAATATTTACTTAAAAATGTAATTTATGTCAAGCAATTTTATGTTGGTTTAAAGAAATATTGAAAGACGAGCAACAATGCAAGCATCAGCTGTTACTATCTTAGTACGCATTTGTCTATATGGTCTATATTCTTTGTTAGTATATTTGGACAAGTAAAACTGAACCAATTTTCATTACGGAACACGACACAGATGATATTAGGGTAGTGTTCCGAAATGAGTTTTGTTTATTTTTTTCATCTTCTAATATACTAAGATTAGAACAGCTGATGCTTGCAGTGTTGCTTGTCTTTCAATATTTCTTTAAACTTAAAGATTAAAAACTAAAACTAAAATTACTGAACTGAGTTTATTAATCTAATTTATTATCTTTATTTATTATAAAAATGTTCCAACAGTTTTACAACACGTACAAGTTTATTAAAGTCTTTGTTTATACATTTATATAATACTACACTAATTTATTTTCTACACTTACATTACAAACTCGATACAATTATATTTTCGGACTGACTTGTTATCAAATATATATATATATATATATATATATATATATATATTTATATATATATATATATATATATATAATATATATATATAATATATATATATATATATATAATATATATATATATATATATATATATATATATTATATATATATATATATATATATATATATTTATCAAATTATTCTCGACCGTATTGTGTTAAATATTATTTGTAGTCTCAGCAATTGGTCTGTATGAAATGAAACTCTATTTGTTATTTCTCAATATTTCGTCACGATTTTGTGACTTCTTCAGGAGAAAACTGTAAATTTATTATAATTATTATATGTAAACAAAATGAATATTTCAATACTTACAACTTAAGATTAAAAATTTAAAATTTGATAACATATCCAATTTAAATAAATGATATTTTTTTTTATTTTAATTTATTTGGGAGTTATGGTAACCGCAATATTTTATAGAGTGAATTCCCATTGTACAATTTTTAGCGAATAAGTTTTAGTAAACAATTACATATTGTGACAGTATTATCCATATAATAAGGTGCAAAAGTAGAATATTGAGAAATAATCAGGAACATGGTAAATTGATCTATAAAATGTAATTGATGGTACGTAGTCAGTTATTCGTCTGATGTTGTTAGATACTGATATTAAGATCTATCATATTATATATTGTTTAGTATATTACAGTAGATGTTACTTAAATGGTTGGTGTCTGTCTTATAATTGATAGATTCTGGAGTTTTATTAATGTGTACCATTTCAAGGAAAAGTCGATTTTTATAGTTATCAATTTGTTCCAAGATTTTTACATTATTAAAGTCAAAGTTATGTCCTGTCTTTAAGTGGTGGTCCACTAAGGCACAAGAGTTTTTTCGTAAGTTACATTCACTTTTGTGTTTAGTGACACGTTGTTTAAGCCACTGTTGACTTTGTCCAATATAATTTATATGAGTAATATAATTTATAGAATAAATTGAAGTCAATGTCAAAGTTGTTATATTGGATATATATATATATATATATATATATATATATATATATATATATATATATATAAAGATAAGGTAGTCCAACATTTTTTGACTAGTTTGGAAAAAATATGTAAATACTTTTTTCTTTTTGGGTGTGGTAGTCAATAAAAAATAGAGCTTTGCTAAGGCGTACTATTTATTCTGAAATCCGAGCTTTCGGTGGTTATTTGCCACCTTTATCAAGGTCTACAATGAAAATTACTGTGTTATAAAATTAGGCTGATGTAATATAAAAGTTATAAAAACTTACCAGAAAGTAAGATTCATAGCATATAAAACACAACGTTAAATAACATAATGTGATCTGAATTATTGAAGGCATTAAAAATTTTAAAAACTTTAAAATACTTAAAAATTAAAGAACATGTTACAAAGTTTAAAAAGTAAAAAATAAGACGACATGTTTGACAAAAAACAGTCGTCTTCGCAGGTTTGAATTCAGTCACATCTCACGAACAGAAAGAGGTAGTAGGAGGAACTATTGTTGTTTAAATAGTTCGATGTAACTACAAAAAACAAACTTTCAAACTGATGTCTAACAAAATGCCGTTTGTGATTTTAAGTACTACCAACCATGTTACCAACTTAGAATTGAGAGGGAAATTTAAAAAAAGTTTTATTATGTCAAAAATTAAAAAGAAAATAGTATTTAGTAAGTAGGTTTAGAAAAAACAAACAACCAAAACAAAATGAACATCTGAATAATAACTGAAGTTAATCATGATAATTATAGCAATTAATAATGGAATTTACGAAACATGAAGCACTCTGAGATGCAGAAAACCCTAGTCAAAAGTCAAAATAAAATTGTAAATTTTGCTAAGATTCTGGATCTCAGATCTTTTATTCAGATTGTTGTTATCACTCCTGCTGATATGTACCATTTCTAAGAATGTTCTCTTAAATTTATTTTTCTCTCTGGCTAATATTTTAACATTGTTGAAATCTATCTTAGCAAAGCTCTATTTTTTATTGACTACCACACCCAAAAAGAAAAAAGTATTTACATACACATATATATATATATATATATATATATATATATATATATATATATATATATATTATATATATATATATATTGGATTTGAAACTTCCGCGAGAGCTATATGTGATTTCAGTTGTTTTCCGGGTTTGACTCCGCGTTAAGTAATTTTGGTTTTTAGAAAAACCATTGTTTTGACGACGTTTCGGCAAGGTCACACTTGCCATTGTCAAGTCAGATTAGTTCTGCTTCGTCTTGATGTTTCAGGAGAACTGATTTCTCGGTCGCTGCTCGCTAAGTTTAAATACCTTGAAGCGCTTCTTGTTATTGGTCCTGTGCGCAGAGTGGGCGGGGTCTTTGGGCATCGTCTCTGGTATTTAAATTTTTTGGATGTTTTTCGATCTCTATGGCTTCCCTGATTACACGTTTGGCCTTATTTTCGATATTGGCTAGCATTGTTGTTCCATTTAAGTCGATTTTGTGTCCTGTGTTGATGGCATGTTGTGCTAGAGATGAAGTTTTCTGTTTCGAAAGAACTCTAAACTGTATCAATTATTTCGCCGAACGTTTTCGACAAAGAAAATTAATTTGGCTTCTTCAGGGCTGAAAGAGAATAAATTATAATTAGCTACCATATATTATCTAATAAAAAACATTTATCTTACCGTAAATTTTAGAAATGTCGAGTTAGGATGTTAAAAAACTTAGCTAGTAAGTAACAACATAGTGGTGTTTTTTGTTATTATGTGCAAAAAAGTTTTTTTTAACGTTGGAAATGTATGGTAGCTTTGAACTTAAAACGCAAAGGTTTACCCAAGGTTAATCGAAAAACCCAATGTAACTACATTTAAAGGAAGTAAAGGAATTCTTTGAATTGTCGGCAATAACTAAATTTTTTATTGTTATAAAGTTTGAATGTGAGGTTCTGTTTTCTTAGAACGCAAGCGCTGACAGTTACAAGTAGTCCTTTTGAATATTTATGTCGTTAAGGTTTATTGGTAAAACCGATGAAGTTAGATCCCAGTTTGGTGAGATATTATTTTAGAATTTTCTTAATTGAAATTCTTTTTTAATTAGTATATTGTTAATGTATTATTATAATAATATCTTATTGAAATGTATCTAAGAAAACCAAGGGAATGATATTTTTTTTAGTTAATTCTTTTTTAGAAAATTATTATTGAAGTAGGTTAGTTGTTAATAGATATATCAGTCAAGTTAGTTATCTGTGATGTTGTATTGTTCTTAGTATTTGATTTAAGTAAGAAGTGGTATATATCGCTTAGATTCTTAATGTCACTCTTAACATTGATGGAAAAATCGTTAAGGAAAATATAAGACATTATGTCTTATATTGAGAGACATTATATATAAGACTGTGACGTCCTCTCGTAGGAGTCACTATCCGGGTAGCTTTTGGACAGTTAGAGACAGAGTTCAAAATAAAAATAAAACTTTATTGTCTTCCTTAAATTAAATTGACAAAAATCTTATGTACATATTTACAATTTAGTTTAGTCTTCTCAGTACCTGGCCTATTTATTCAAATTAAGTTTGACCTTGTCGTATGAAGTTCGTCTTATCGGCAATCGAGTGTGTTTTCGGAATTTTACGTGAACGTTGTAATAACAACGGACGATAGGTACAAAGAAAAGAAAGGAACTCAACACGTCCCTTGAGTGATTCGGGTTAATAGGACACTCCTCGACAGTCTCAACACGACTGCTTCGGAGTACGGGTAATGGAGAGCTCAACACGCTCTCCGGGTGGCGGTATGGAACGGAAACAACTTGTGAACTCAACACGTCCACAAGCCGGGGTAGGGAAGAAGAGAACCTTCAGTCAACACCTGTCGATTCTGCCTCTATGAGGAAATAATGCGGTTTATATAGCAAAGTTTTGCCCTTTCTACTGTCGATACACTCCTACTTCATGGGTTGGTTCGCGCGCACGCTGGTTTAACGGTGATGGCTTGGACTCATCGTTACACCCCCTCTTCCTGGGAAAAAAAATTTTGGAAC